AGATGAAGAGCTCCCATGCAGGTTATGGAAGCTCAGTGCGGAAAGCAAAGTCGGGCATCATTAGAGTGCTCGGTCCTAATGGGAAGAGGAGTGGGGGCCTTCCCTGGCTGGTGCCCCATGGTGTGAACTGGGTCTTTAAAGGACCCAGATGTCTCTGAAAACCTGTGCTTTGCCTCACAAGGCTCGCAGCCTGTTTTCCAAGAGAGCATGCAGTGCAGTCAGGCCGTGCCCTCTGCCCCTGAGGTTCCATTTCTACCCATTGAAACTCTGCAGTCCCAAGTCCCCTGGTGACATACAAACCTAAGACCGCTCCACTACACCCTTAAGAAGACAGTGCCTCAGAGAGCAAGATCTCTTCCTCCACTGGCAAACCCTATTTGTCCAGAAACTTTGCCACTTTACCACTGGCAGTGGAAGCATGCACATCTCCAGGGACCACGCCTGCATCTCCCTTGCTGAAGAGCCCCCTCGACTATCAGCTTTCCGAACCCAGGTTCTTCTGCCATGAAAAGCCCACCGAGTTCTTCTCCCTTTGGGACATGGCCTGTGCTTCACGTAATGGGTCACCTGCCACCTCTTCCTGGAAGCCTTTTTCCACCAAACCTCCTCCTGCTCCAGGAGCCTTTTTGCTGGGCCCATGCATATGCACTTACTGTTGAGCAGGGAATTCCAGGTCTCCCAGGAGGGGCTCCGGAAAAGGCTCCTTTGGGAAGAGGGGAGGGAAGTGACTGCTGGGTCCCAGCCAGAGGAGGCCTTCCTGGGATCTGGCTCTGCAGGGACCCAGGGCCTCAGCATTGCCTGCCCAGCAGACCTCACATCTGTGGGGGTTCCTGCTCCCCTCCCTGCTGAGCCAGGTCCAGGGCACGAGCACCTGCCGGAATCCTCCCCCTTCACAGCCACCAATGGGCGCTCAGGACCCAGTTGTCACGCCCAGGTCTCCATGTACACCCGGGTCCTCTGGTGCTGCCCCCACACGAGCTGTAACAGTGCCTTCCTCTGGGGTACAGCTGCCATGTCCAGCCTGCGGGCTCCTTTACATGCCAAGGGCGCCTGGATGACATACACACAAATGCAGCCGACTGCCCGTGTCCTGCCTGGGAGGGAAAGTGGATTTTGTGGGACCCGCGAGCTGCATCTGCCTCACAGGGGAGAGCAGAGTGTGCTGTCCTCTTACATTGCATCCCCGACACCCACCCCCACAATCCCATTCCAGGGGATGGGGCAGCGGAGCGTCCCGTCCTTCCCTCCCTGTCCCTCACTGGGGTGGGCACTGTGCAGCTGACGGAGGAGGAGAGCAGCACACGCCTGTCAGTGTGCATCCGAGCTTGCTCGTTCCCGGAGAACGCGGGCAGCACCGACATTCCGGTCGCTGTGACGACCACAACAAACCACTCCTGCCTTCGCGAGGCAGGCACACTTCCCAGAGATAGTGACAGACGTGAGGCAAAGAGTAACTGTAGCAGTATCATATCGGGACAAGTAGGTGGCTACCGTCCTTGTGTGTGTGTGTGTGTGTGTGTGTATGTGTGTGTGCTCACACGTGCGGTCTGTGTCAGGCGTGGAGGGGTCCCGTCCTTCTGGGTGTGAGAGACACTGGTGTCTCTTCATGAAGGGCTGGTGGAAGACACCGTTAGCCATTGTGTCCCCAGCCCCATCTTGTCCTGAAGACACACCTGTTATGTGCGGAGCTGTCACCTGCGTGTGTATAGCTGAGATCCCAAAGTGTTTCTGCTTCGACCCCTCAGTGTCACAACTCTGTCCCCTGCTCCCTTAATTAAGGACGTCCCTTTACTCATGGCACAATTTCCTAGTAACCTAAGGCTGTCTTCTGTCCTCAGGAGACAAACATGTGTGTCTGGACTCCGGGCTGGGGGGACATGAAGCGTCTCTCGCATGTTTCCTGGCATGCACCAGCAGGTCCAGGCGAGGGGTCAGTGCACCTAGCAGTCCTCTCCCTGCGTTCTGTGTCATCAGGTGACTCCCGTGTACTGAAGTCCTTGGCACTTTCTTCCTTAGATCCAGGATCTCCTGGAAACGGAGGTTGGAGGCCGTGCTGTGGTGGAGGCAACAGCGAGAGATCCAAGGAGTTCCACAGCACCGATGCAAATCTTTGAGTGATTTGGACATGAAAGCCATGGTCCCCCAGGAAGGGGCAGAGTGGAAGGCCCCAGGCCCCCTGGTCAAGGAAACAGGGGAAAGGAGAGTCCTTAGGAAGTCCCTGGAGATCCTGGAGGAAATCCCACCATGGGGGGAAAGAGGGCACCGCCATGCACAAGAGGTCCCCACCTCCAAGGGACCTCAGAGGGTTTCTGGAGGGCGAGCCAGCCCACATCCTCCTCGAAAGCAAGCGAGCCACAAAGGGGACTCCCGGGCCCAGCGTAGGAGAAGGGGACACTCAGGGTCCTTGCCAGTGCCTTGGGGGAAGGAGGCTCCCCTGAGCAGGGAGACAGGCCAGGGTCACAAGGCCATGGCACCTGCTCCCCCTGGGAGGCGAGCCAGCAGCACCAGCAGTAGCATCACGAGTGCGAGCCCACAGGCCCTGGCAGCTTTTGGAATTGGGGCTCAGCACCAGGGCCTGGGAAAGCTGGACATGATGGCCATCGTATCCCTGTGTCGCCTAGACATCAAGCGAGGCCAATGCACACTCGGGGTGCAGTGTGCTCCATCCCGGCCTGCAGGAGTCATGCCCCCTACAGCCAGAGGGCTGAGCACAGAGGCCCAGAACACCAGCCCAGGGCCCCAGGCTGCAGCTTCCTCCCCTGGCCACACCTTCCCGTGCAGTATGCAGGACCCTGGCCTGGGAGCCTCCCCAAAACTAGGGTGGGAAGGGGTGACTGCGTCCTCCACATCCCCTGACCCAGCGCTGCAAGGCTCGCTGCGAGTCCTGCAGAGGAAAAGGAAGCTCCAGGCAGCAGGCCAGGAGGAAGGCCCGCCAGCTCCTGGGTCCACAAGGCCCTCACAGGCTGTCACCCAGCCTCAGCCCCAGCTCCAGCACCAGCACCAAAGAGCCAGCCCCACACCCCAGGGGCAGGCCACCAGCCTGGGCTCTACCTGCGCCCCCGCTACCATCGCCAGAGGCTCCGTGGTGTGGTACAAATGCGCGGAGCACCCCTTTTGGCCGGCAGTGGTCACCAGTGTCAGCCTCAGCCGGCAGATGGCCAGGGTGCTCTTGATCGAGGCCAACCTGTGCGGGGAGCGCAGCGGCATCCGGGTGCCTCTTGGCAGGCTGAAGCCCCTGGACTGTGAGGAGAAAGCAAAGCTGGTGCGCAGAGCCAGCAGGGCCTTCGGGCCCAGCCTCGCCTGGTGCCTCTCCCTGGTGGCCCACTACAGAGAAGGCCTGGCGCGAGGGTCTTTCCGGGGCTCCTTCCTGGAGTACTACGCGGCCGATGCCAGCTACCCCCTCCGCAGGGCTCTGCGAGGGGGACCAGGTCTGCTGCCCCTGTGCTTCCCTGAGGTCCACTACAGCGACCTAGAGGACTCTGAGGAGGAGCAGCAGGAGGAAGAGGACTCGCCACATCCCAACCAGGCTCTGGGTTTGAAGGTGCCCCGCAAGAGGCTGCTGCCCGACCGCACCCGGGCCGTGAGGGACCGCACCAACCAGAAGATAGTGGATTTCATCGTGAAGACCAAGGGCACCGACTGCCACTTGCTGGACATCGTGCAGGGCAGGAAGCCATCTCGCTGGCTGGAGGCCTTCTTGCAAGAGCGCAGGTACCTCGTCTGCGTGGAGACCTACCTGGAGGACGACGACCAGCTGCTCCTCGTGGCCCGACACCTACAGCGCCTCTGTGAGCGCACTGAGGAGCCCATGCTGGCTCTGCGTGCAGTGGACAAGGTGAGGCTGGTGATGGAGGTGCTGCTACCAGAGGCTGTGATCTGCTCCATCGCCACCCTGGAGGGGCTGGACTACCACGGCGCACAGGAAAAGTTTCTGCGTGGGCCCCTGGTGCACCCTCGAGAGAAAGAGCTGTTTGACAGGAAGATCAGGAGAGAGAGGAAGAAGAGATCCAGGGCCAGCGAGGAGCTGCTCTGCACCCCTCCTAAGTCTGCGCCCACACCCTAGTGGGGAACCCTCCTCCTCAGTCCGTGCACAGAGAGGCTGTGCTCACAATAAAAGCTCTGCACCCCTCCCTCACGTGTGTGTGTGTGTTGTACTTGGGGTTGTACCCAGCAAAGGGGGGCACCCAAAATATACGGGTGCCCTCCAGAAGGAGTCCTGGTCAGGGATGGCAGCTGCTCTCATCACTTGGACGGCTCAGTGAAAATTCCCTTCCCATCCTACACCCACCCGAGTTCGCACCCATGAGGTCCACTTGCAGGAATGGCTGTGGGAAGGAACTTCCCCGCCCTGCACGCACCCCCTCCCTGGCTCTGCCCCACACAGAGAGGCTCCCAGGACCCCTGCCTGGACCCTGCATGCCACAGGCTCATGGTCCTGCTCCTCCGCCATATGAACAGAGGACCTTGCTGCTCTATGGGGACCTGGTCCCCACTCCCAACTCCACCCCTTCCCCCCTCCCCGAGCTCATCCTCTGGCTTCTCTGTGAGCCCTGGCCCCTGAATCCTACAAGCCGTGCCACCCCAGCCCCTTCACCAGGCTCACAAGGTTCCTCTCCAGGTGCCCTGTGTCCTTGTCCCATGTCCAGCCCCTTGCCCTGGGAGGATCCTCAAGAGAAAGACAGGTGCAGCTGGAGGCTGTGTCCGTGCAGAAGCAAGGGATGAAGATGCGTGGCCAAGGGGACTCTACCTAGTTCCTCAGGTGCCCAGATGCACAGGCTGCACCCTCTTTCTGAGAAAGGCCCCGGTGTCATGACCTATGGGGCTGCTCTGAGGCCAGAGCCCCACTCTCCCCCATATCCCTGAGGGGACTGGTGTCTGTTTGTTGGGGGTGGCAGGGGAGCTGGCCTCTCCTGGATGCCATCTACAGCCCTGCTGGTCATGGCTGCAAAAGGCACAGCCTGCGTCCTTGCTGAGCAGCTTCTTGGGGTACACACTGGAGGCTATGTCACCACGTGCAGGCCAGACAGACAGGCATGTGAAGTGCTGGTGGCAGCAGTGTCTGAATAGCCCAGTGCTGGGAGCCAGGAGCGGAATGCCCACCTGCATGGTCTAGGACAGGTGAGACCCCAGGGGGCTTCAAGGGGCCTAAAGGAGCTGAGCTCTGGCACTTGTGGGAGGACCTTGGGCAATGACGGTTGATGGGAAGGGAGAGCCACCAAAGCCCATACCAGCCTGGTGCCTGTCACCAGCTGCATTCCTGCTCTTCCCTCTCTTCTCCCTCTTCCACCTTCTCTTCCTCCGCCTTACCCCTGGCTTCACATTCAGCTTGGGCGCTATCTGTGTGCTTCACCAGGGCTCTCCTGCTCCAGACTAGACTGGGCTTCCATGGCTCAGGCTCCCCAGGGAGCTTCAGAATCTCTGTAAATGTCCAAAGCCTGTTGACCACTGCCAGCCTCCTCAGAGCTGCATGCAGAGGCTCAGCCATGTAGGTCCTGGTGAGTACCTGCCTGTGTTGCATGTGATCTGTGTTGTAACCCCCCCCCCAAAAAAAAACAAGGCCCCATGATGAAATACGGGGCAAGACCCCTGAGATGATAAATGGGACAAAATGATGTCTTTTTTAAAAGAAGTGCTTTTATTTTAGCTGGCCCAGTGACACAGTGCAGATGGAATTTGCAAAGCTGTGCAACTGAGTTAGAATTTTGACTGATTTTCATAGTGCATTTATGATTAGCTCATTGATCATTAGGTACATAGTGATGAGAAACAGAAACAAAGTGGGCCTTTGTGCCCCTTTGCTTGAGGTCAGAGGCATTTCACAGTGGGTGGTTAGCCAGTTCATAGCCCTTGGTCTGCCAATTTCAGGAACATTTGTCTCTCATAAAGGGAACAATGATGGTTGACACAGCGCCATTTGTCTCTTACAAGGGGAACAAAGGTTGACATAGCAAACAGGTAACTTGGGGGACAACACATACAGAACAGCATGATGATGCAGTCAGTTAATTTATAACAAATTTATAACAATGTGGTCAGTGCTCCAGGTACATGGTTATGCACAGAGCATAACAATCTGCAGAGGCCAGGGCCAGGGCCCTTCAGGGATGGCTTTGTCTGCAGCATGACTTCCAGGCGCAACACGGAGGCTGAGAGATGCTCACCTGACTGCTGCTGAGCAGTGAAACACTTGGGTCAGATGGCGTGGCCTGGGCCCTTTGTCTCCAAACACCCAGATCAGGGCTGCCGGGTAGTCCTGGGGGATTCTCGGCCAGGAGCCTGTGCAACAGCCGCTGGGGAACCCCACTCAAGCCTTCCATCAGCTTCCTCTTGCTCTCCCTTTCCGAGACTTCCTGCCACACAGGCAGCACATCAGTGGTGTGGTCTAACCAGGCCTCCAAGGACCCTTCTCCAGGGCTGGCAGCTCCCTCCGGGAACAAACACCCAGGCACTATCCCTCACCTTCTCAGGCAAAGTGGATCACCTGACTCACGGATCAGAGCCAGCACAGCCCTGGCTGATTCATATGCAGAGCACCGGCCACACTGGCCATCTGCCCCTGTTGCTCTAGCAAGTGGAACTCTGGACCTAGAAACTCCTCACCCGACCTCTAGGGCACAAAGTCCATGTTCAAGGAGCCTTTGGTGCCTGGGATTTCCCTGGAGACCATAGCATAGCTGAGTTCCTGTCGAGCCTGACCAGGGCCACAGTGGCATGACCCTCCTCTCCTTGGAACACTTTTCCCAGCACAGTAAAGTGGCCCACAGGCTGCAGGGCCAACTCCAGAGAGTCCTGGAGTTCACTTTCATCCCAGTCCTCAGGGCACCAAGGCCAAAGCATGGTCAGCACCATGGCCAGCGATTTCAGCTGCAGGCACAGGGCCTCAACCAGCTATTGGCAGGGCCAGGTTTCCTGAACAGAAGAGGCCAGAGGGGTGGGGCTGAAGGGCAGGAGGAAGGCACAGGGGTTGGCTCCAGGAGGAGCACATCCTGGGAATGCAAAGAGGTTACTGTCCACCCCAACCCAAATTACACACACACACACACACACACACACACACACACACACTTCCTCCAAAGCTGCCTTCTGGAGCTAGGTCACAGCTGCACCTCCTAGCATAGGCTCCCTGGAGCCCACAGCCCTCCCCACATGGCCTCCATCCCACACAGCCCCCATCCCACACATCCAGCTCCAAACAGCCATCGCCCCCAAAAGCCCCACCCCACATAGCCCCACCCTACAAGTCCCGCCCCACCCAGCCCCAAACAGCCCTGCCCCAAAAGTCCCACCCACACAGCCCCCACCCTATCCTGCCCCCATAGGTTGCCCCAGTCCAGGCCCAGGGGAGCAGAGGGCTAGGTGTCTCCATGGACACAGTGCCCCTTGGTCCTTCTGATCCCTCTGCTCTTCCCAGGTCTGGGGTGGGACAGCTTGTTTTGGGAAAGGCAAGCTCCTTCCTGGAGCACAGCTGCGGTGGCCATGGCTTCCTCTCAGTCCCCAGCTGTCCTGGCAGGGCACGTGGGTGACTGCTCTCTGTGCTTGAGACTCCGAGTGAGGAGCGCGCGGGAAGCAGAGCACGGACCCTCGAGAGGTGCCTAGAGACCACCAGGCCATTGATGCTCCCAGGTCACCTGGCTGGGCTAGGGCTGCTGCCCCTGCCTTGACGCCGTGGACAGGGGGCGCCAGAGTGATCAGATCTGCAGCAACTGGGGATGTGCTCTGGCCAGGCAGGGAGACCTGTGGGGCTCCTTCCCCTGCACTGCTTCTGCCCATCCACACCCAGGATGGGGCCAGTCCAGTGGACAGCCTGGGTGAGGCGCACCTAGTACAGGTGATTCCCAGGGGAGACGCTGCACCTGGGCACCCTGGTGGCTCCCATAGGCAAGACGCCCACTGAGGGGCCCCCATCTGGCTGGGTGCTGCCTGGCCCTGCTAGGAGCCAGCTGGCCTGGGACCTTAGCAGTCAGCAAGTGTGCTGCAGGCTGGCCCGCTTGCCTGGCTGCCCTGGAGCCTCCGCTGGCCAACATTTGGGAGGTGGCCAGTGCCATGAATGGCCCGAGCCTTCTCCTCTCTGCCTGCCATAACCCTAGTACCCTGGAGATAGCTGCTTCCTGGGTTTGGCGCCCAATCCCCTGGGCCTGCCTCTCCCAGGCCTCTGAGCACCGGCTTCTGTATTGCTGTGTGCTGTGGAGGCAGCAGGATGACGAAGGAGTAATTGCCCCTCAGGCAGGGTACCCCAACCATCCCCATTCTTGCTCTTGCTTGCTGAGCCAGGACGTCCTCACCTCCATGGGGCCCTTCTGGCCACTCACGGTGGGGCTCACCATGCCACCGGCTCTGGGAAGCCATGTGGGGTAGCAGCGTGGGATGGAACAGGCCCGTGGCTTCCATCCACTCTGTGGTCATCAGCCACTTGTCCGGGACCACGAAACTGGGACCCCAGTGACTTTTCCCAGGTCTGACTGGATGGTAGGATGAAGGGAGCTGGGATTAAGGGCGAGTGGCTTGCAGCTAAAGGAACTGGAGGCAAGAGTAGGCCAGTGGGTCATGCCTCACAGGCCTTGGCTAAGTGCTGGGCTCTTTCTTAGGCGTTTTAATGTGAACTTATATGCTATGATTTTGAAATGAAGGACGTGTGTCTTGCATAATGATCTAAGGTGTTTTTTGCCTCAAGGCTCTTATATTGTTTATTTGCCTTAATATAACTAACATTCTAAACTTCCTGGAATTATTTTTAGAACATAGGAACTTTTATAAAGCATGTAATGGTTTTCTCACTTTTTAATCAATGAAAACTTTTTTTTCCCTCTCCTAATAGAGTTCTGCAAGAAAACTAAGTGAATCACTGGGAGAATTGTAAGATGGCAAGGGAAGATGCCCAAAGTGGAAAGCCACCTCTGGAGTTTCTCCAGAAAGGGGCGTGTGAGTGTCCCACCTGTGGGCATCAGAAAGGACAACTGGGGACACCCGGGCCGAGGTGAAGATGTAAATGTGTTCAGTTTGCCAAGTTACTGAGCACTTATGTCACCGGAGGAGACCTGTTCCTTCACTGCACACGTCCACTCGGCGGTGTGCCTGGGTGTCACCCTATGATATTACTCACCTGCATTATTTGAGTAGTTGTGCATTATTCCACCGCAAAATATACATGCTACGGAGTACTGTTCTTTTTCTCCTTTCTGTTGTTGGTTACCTTTGGAGCTGAGTGTCTGTGGAAATGTTTCCTGTGCCTTTGTGTGCCCAGTGCCGTGTACGGTAGCTAGCACACACAGGCAACGCGCATGGACAAACCTCGCTTCTCAGCTGGAAAGTGTCCTAGAGGCTGATGGGGGCAGCCTCCAAAGCTTGGCCTTGCCCTGGCTTGGGCCAGCAGTGAGTCATGTAGGGTCATTCAGAGGACACATTCGTGGGCCGCACCTCTCACAGGTCTGATCCACTGAGTTTGAATGGGGCCTAGGACTTTTTCCTTTCTCCAGAGCTCCTGGTAACTCAATAAAGTACGCACTCCACAATGTTTAGCACACAAAGATGCTATAAAGAAAAGTGCCACCGATGCTTTAATTCAGGGCCTGGTTGGAGGCCTAAGATCCCTACAATCCCGCCTCTGAGGTCAGCCCTCTCCTGTACTGTGGTCCTTGTTAGGTCCCAGCCTTGCCCTGCTGGAGGGGATCACTGTGTGCATTGCAGCATGCCGAGCTTTACTGCAGAATGAACACATCCTTAGGGACTGGCAGTACTGGGTTTGCCGGTTTACGTCTTTACATAAATGGTGTCGTATTCTTCACATTCATCCATTCAATCAGTCTTTATGAGAAAAACTGCCGTTTGATATATGCAAATTGGGTTAATAGATCTCCCATTCTGTGGAGTACTCTATTGTGTGTCTGTGAACCAAAATGTATTCACCACTTTCCTCATTGCTAGGTATGCTCCTTATTTTCCCTTTTTAGGCCACACCACAGGAATTACCCTTGGAGCATTTTGCTAGGCTGTGGATGTAGCTGTGGCATTGCTGGGTTGAAGACCATCTTGAGTGGTTTGTTTTTAGTGTCTTTTTCATGAACATCTTTTGCAATGCACAATAGTTACATTCATCCCGGGGATTTGGAACACTGACATATCACAAATGGATCATTTTTACTTCCTCTTCCTCTTCCTTCCTTCCCATCTCTCCTTATCCTCCCATCGCCACAAAGTCCAGCTCCCTGCTTTCTGCATTCTGTCTTTATTTTTGCTCTTTGAAGTATTTATATTTGGGTGTCTCCTTTAAAGGAAAAATCCAATATTTGACCTTCTGTGTCTGATTTATTTTGCTTAGCACCCTGGTCTCAAAATGCATCCAATTTCCTAATAAATGACTCAACTTTATCCTTTATGGCTGAGTAGTATTCGTAGTTCTTTCTCCATTCATCTAGTGATGGATCTGCAGGACTCTTCCAAGAGTTAGCTGTGGTGAGTCTTGCTGTCATGAAAATGGGTATGTGGAGATCCCTGCGGGATGTCTTTTATGTTTTGGGGAAGACATCCAGAAGCAGCATAGCTGGCTCAAATGGAAGTTGTATTTTACGGTTTTCATGAGCACATGTTTGTCAGAGACCGATCAGGCAGGCCCCCAACCTCCCAAAACAGTTATGGCAAAGGCTTAAACAAAAAGTGACAATGCGCTATGGTTTGGGGAAATCTGGGAAGGTCCGAGCTCTCCTGAGATTAAGACCAGGAGTTCTCCAGAGCACTCATACTTATTGGGACTCTACACAAAGAATAGCACACTGAGGTAAAGGCAGAAACTAAGGAGGACCTTGGGAAGTTTAAACCCAATTCTCCAAGCTGTCGATGTTGCAGTTAAGACAGCTGTCCTATCTCTCGGGCTGACATCTATGCCAGGAGCCAATGCCTGCAGCTGCATCTTACCTAAGGACTGGAGTGAGCCCATGTTTCCGGGCTTGTCTTGTCTTCGGAGCATTGAGGTCAGCAAGCTAACCCTTGCATTCTCGGTCTGCAGCATGTGTTTCTGCACACACTGTGTGCATTCCTTGGGTGGGGTCGGTACGTGCACATAGCCTATCTTAATTCTTACTTCATTCCCTTTCCCTACTCTCCCTCCATCTGTCCGTCTGCTTGCCATCTGAGGAACATTTACTTCCCTACTTCCTATTGTCTTTTATTTTGCTTTTTATTTCTAATTTGGGTTTCCAATATAGGAGAAACACTGTGATATTTAAAATTGTATGCCTGACTTGTTTTGGTTAACATGATAGTCTCAAGGTGCGTCTGTTTTGTAACTCAAGTGACTCCAGTTCATCTTCTTAGCAGAGGAGTGCTCCATTGTATGTACATACCACATATTCCTTATCCCCTCCTCTGGGGATGGACATGTAGTCTGCTTCTAAGATTTAGCTGTTTTGAATCTCTGCACCATTTCCATGTTTGCAGATAACGCCAAACTGGTTTCTGAGTTACTGTACCAGTTTATGCTACCTTCAGTCAGCCTTGACTGCCTGGGTCCAGCTGCTTTTCTTCTAATAATGCGCTGGGCCAATGTGACTATTCTCAGCTTATGTTTCCCTGACTAAGAAGATAGGTGGCTTCTAACTGGCTTCAAAGACTTTGGTTGGGGCAAAGTAACCCAGTCCAAGACACTTTCTACTCCGCCAGCTCCACATGAACTAACCCCCTTGTTCCCAAGATGTTCGTACATTGTGATAGACAATCGCTTTTATGCAAATATATTTAGAGTTAGTTTACCTGACAATGTATGACTTAATTAATTCCCTGTAAACAGTCATGTAATGCCTTGTACCTCCTGCTTTATAACTGTATTTAAACTGAACCCAAAACTGTCTCAGTGTTGCTGATTTGGAGATGAGAGTCCCATCAGCCCTCTAGCATCATAAACAGTTGCCTTCTAGATTCCTTGGTGCAAAGTCTTCCATTTGGAGTGATACTGGTTTTTCTGTAATGATATAAAGGAACAGAGAGAGATCTGAGCCTACTGGCCTTGGTGATTGTAATGATGCAGCCACAAATGAAGAAATGCTGGAAACCACCAGAAGTTGCAAGATACAAGAATGAATTTTTCCTTAAAGCCTCCAGAGGACATGGTGCCTTGCTGATATCTTGATTTTCCCAGTGATACTGACTTTGGCTTTCTGGTCTCCAGGTCTGTGATGGAGTAACTTTGTAGCAGTAGCCACGAGAAGGTCATACAGGATGAAGCTGATTCTTCCATGATAGCCACAACTTGCCATGCACACCTACTGTGTCAATGCTAAATATCAGATAATCAGAGCAGAAACAGCAGTGTTGGAGAGGCAAATGTCTCTCTGGGAGGAGGGGGCTCAGGAAGTATATATAGAGATTTAGATGTTGGGAATCTTCTTATGGCTGAAGAATGCAACGAGAACCTAAAGGGGAAACTGGCAGCTTGGATCAATGTTTACTCCCCTCGTGAGTGGTTTGTGAGCTACACAAAAGGAGCACAACCTTGGATAGAGCTTACGGTGCCCTTGCATTTTACAGAGCACTCTAAAGTGAAGGCTTGGTCACAGGTCAACAGTTCTGGGAATTGTATTAATGAGTTCTCAGTTAACAGAATTCTGGCTGACTTGGAATTGGGGTGTGTCTCTTAACATGGTGGGGCACAAGGAATCCAGAGAAGGTGTGACGTCTGTTTGTGACAGTACGTCAACTAAACTCAAGACACTGGTTAAAGACCAGTCTTCTCTAGATGACCTTGCAAGCTGTCTGTGGCTGAATGTGTAGGTCAGAGAAAGGCAACAAGGCATACAGAGAAATACCAGTGTCCTTTGATTTATGATAAGACTATGTTCTGATAAACTCATCATAACACAAGTAACTTGAAAACATCCTACGTTAAAAAAACACATCTGCTACAATTAACATACAGAGCATCCTAGCTTAGCAACAGTGGACTGTGCAGTGTCAGTCCCTCATATCCTCTAATCCTGTCACCCCACCACGCTGAGGCCTGTGGCCACCGGGGTTTCACAGTCTGCTGCTGCTTCCCAGCTCCAGGAGAGAAGATCAAATCACATTCTGCAACTTAGGAAAGGACCCAAATCTGTATTTTGAAATATGGTTTCTACTAAATGCATATAGTTACTGGACTAAAGTTGAAAATTGTTAAGTTGAGCCATTTTTAACTTGGGGACCCTCTGTGTTCAGTACAATTTGTACTTTGTTTAATGCCTTGCTTCTCAATTTATGGATTTGAAAGCTACCTGTTAGTGAAAAATGGCTATTGAAAGAGTTTGGCCCTAGAATAAATTACGGTCCAGTTCTGGCTGTGGTCCAATGTGGCGGAAGGCCAAAACTGG